TGAGTCGTTTTGTGGGTAGCTGCTGGACAGCTATAGTAGGTTTTTGAGGTCTCGGAAACCTCTACTACGTTTCCGGAATCTGGAGGTTTTTTGGTTGCTTTTGAGGGCTTCTGAGAGCTCGGAAACCCTTTCCCGGAAACCTATAAAGGGTTTCATATAGGAACAAACCCGGAAACCTTCTATAGGTTTCCGAGAAAACGGATTTTTTTAGAGTGTAGGCGATCATCACTTATGAGTACATTCATAGGACTTCCATAAAGCACTGATGGGTAATCAATAATATAAGCTTTGAGGACTTATGTGTATCTCCATAGGATAGGTCTTGTGGAATTATGGATACCCCATATGATAGACGATGATAACTTATGAATACTCTCATAGAATAGGCATTGAGGACTTATGACACTTCCATAGAATTCGTCATTAGAACTTATGGTTTTCCTATAGAATGCATCGTTTTCCCGGGATTTCCATCGTGCTGCTTGGGTTTCAAGGATTTTCATTGTTCTTATAGGAATATGGAATCTTTTGAATTCGCCTCTTTCCCTGTGTAGTAGCCTTTAAAACTGGTTATCTGTTCGACGCACTTGAAAATATGATCAGAATATATTGTTGAAGACTACCTTAGATTTTGGACTTTTTTGGATGTAAAATCCAAAAAAAACGCTTTTTCCCCCCTTGAATGTATTGGCTTCTTGATATCGATATATTTGACCATGGTTTTTTGTCTTATTTGAATGTGCACAAGTGAATTAAAAGTTTTTCTTGCGAAAAATTCTAGGTAGACTTGAACAATTTCTGAGCAGCGCATTTTGTAACACTCTACACCTATGTTACACAGCAAAGGTCCCCCAACATTTTCCTGCATAGTACCTGAGATACGACTGCTTTAATTTAAAAGTACTATAAAAAATATTTATTTAATGAAAAATGCCTTTTTACATTGCACCACATTTTTTAAGATTCTTGATAGCGAAAAGAAACACAAAGCTGAATTTTTCACTGGTCTATACAAGGTTGGGTGTCGGTGCGACTGGATTAAGAGCACACCCACACCCGTACATCCACGCCCGTACACCCACATCCACACCCTACCCATTTAAATGAGTTTCTGCTAGTTATTTGTCTAATTTGCAACGATTACAACCATCTGAAGTCGTACAGAAGTAAATGTCAGCCGCGCACTCCATACGAAATGAAACTCATTGAAAAAGCATGGGTGTTTTGCTTCTTTTAGGTCACTTGTTATCTTCTCTTTTTGTGAATATTTTATTGCTGTTGTATATTGTCCTTTTGATAGTGTTTATTTGATAAGAATTCATAAAGAAACATAAAAAGAAGGCAAACACGGGGGTCCGGAGCTTCGCCAATAAGACTTTCGCCAGTTATTGGCGAAAATCCAGAGGATATACTGACGAAAGTCTACTCAACTTTCGCCAATTGGCGAATTTCCAAGGGATATATTGGCGAAATTCCACTGAACTGTCGCCAATTGACGAATTTCCAGGGGGCGAATTGGTGAAAGTCGAATAGATTTTCATTAATGAAGGTGGAATATTCATATGGTAAGTGGTGTACAAGAACTACGCCTAGCATTATAAAAATGTACCCCAAGTCATACAGTTAAAGATTCATTAATCCAATTTCTTGTATATGCCGATAACAAGACTGACAGCAATGAAATCAACAACCAGTAACAATTGTGTTTGTTAACTAAGTCATGCAAATATAGAAGTAAATATTTTTCGATATTCTGTATAAAATGACAAAAAAAATCACATACTTCTTTTGCAACAGCATTCATAAACGCTCTTTCAAAATCACAGACAATTGTTGTTGGTTTCAGATCAACACCTTTTTTAGCACCTATTTTTTCAAACGACGCAAAATTGCTTCATATGTTTCATGGCGTCTATTAGACGTTAAAATAAAACAGACGGGTACAGCTAGAAATAATAAGAAACATGATTTGAAGAAGAATCAATTTTGCTCTTAATTAATCCAACATTATTTATATAGAACGACAACATATATTTCTTGTCATAGCTAATTCATCTGCGTTCTTTTATCCGTATGACTAATACGCATAAGATATATTTATTTTTTCTCTCTAGTTCTCTCTGCTCTTTCTCTTATGCATGTTTAGGCGTTAACTGAACAGAAAAAAATTTATACCTTCTCCATCTTGCATGCCATGAATAACATATAATTGCTCGAACAACTTTGGCGATACCTTAAAGGTACCATCTGCAAATAATATATCTGAATTATATAGCACGTTTAACTGTTCATCAGATGCGAATATCATCAATCGACCTCCATAGGCAGTTTTCGTTTTGTCGTATATTAGAAAATTTCATTTAGAATAGGTCTCTTGATAAGCTGATGGTACAACGAATTTTTGATCGTGTGGTAATGGTGACATGGTTTTTCTTCGTAGTTTGTGAAGACCAGATTCTACAAAATAAAAAAAATTATGATGTAAAATCAATATTAAAGAAAAAAAAATTAATTTTATGTACCGATCTGACAAGGTAATGGCATCACTCGTTTTTCTTCTACTGATAAACTGGCCTTTCTGTATTCTTCTTCGATAATAATTTTAATTGGAATATATTCATCACGAACACGACTTTTTATTTTGGCTAAAATATTTTGTTTCCGTGTTTCAAATAAGTCAGGTGCGTGACAGTGAAACGTTCCATTCCAATGACTAAATTCACCTGTTATTTTTGAAGTGTGAATAACGGCTTTACAATTCATATCTCTTCGTACACAGCGCCAACCAATACTTTTCTTTGCCATACTCATATACAAATAGCCAAACCCATTCATAAATACCATTTTACCTCCACGGGTTGATGTACCAGTTGTTATGCCCCCTTGATTATTGGTACATTCATAAAAGCATTTGAATCACCCTCAATGTCACTTTCATCATTGTTTGATGATTCTAATGATATAATAGAATGACCATCTTTAAGTTTTGTTATTGTTATTGGAGAATGTGGAGCAGATGTTGATGTTGGTGATAAAACTATAGATTCGGAATCTAAAGAATGAAATAATACAGATTCTTTTTTTTTCTGTTGAATTCTTTTACTTTTGTTCAATGACGATGATACAGATAGTTCATCAGCAAACAAATTTTCGAGAGGCGTATCCATTTCCTTTGCTAATTTATTCTCTTCGCCTTCAGATAGTTTAATAACTTCAGGTATAGATTCAGTATCTAAACTTGTTGATTGTTGTTGTGGTGGTGCAGGACAGATTTCAAATTCATCGCAAGTCACAATTGGTTGTACTTTAACTTGTTTATGCTTTTGTTTTGATGGACATTTACGAGTTGTTTTGCTAATCGATGTTGAAGTTGACATTGTTTGATCAAGCGAAGGTGTTACATTTACACTAGATTGCGATCTTAATGCTGCAGCACGAGTAGTTACAGGCATTTAATTAATAATAATTATCTGAAAAATTAGAAATACTATCATACATATAAAATTTCTTACTAAGATATTGGTTTGATTGACGATGTTATACTCCACACTGGTAACACAGAACCGTTATCCATCAGCTATTGCAAATAAACTATAAAATATGGATAAAACTTCTGACTACGACATTGATGAATATCTACTATACATACAGTTGATCAATCTCTCTAATCAACGTTACTGTTATACCTAAATTCAAGAAAGTTCATTTGAAATTCGCCAATTGGCGAAAGTACATGTGGTATGTTGGCGAAAGTTCACTGGAAATTCACCAATTGGCGAAAATACAAGGGGTTTATTGGCGAAAGTTCACTGGACGTTCACCAATGACGAAAGTTCAGTTTGCGAAATTCCTATTGGCGAACGTCCGGTAGCCCGGCAAACACAGATAACAACAGAAGGCAAAGCATTGATATGTTGCAAAAGTAAGATACAAGTCATTCGAAAGAGCAGGCAAACGATGTAAGAAGCAAAAAACTTCTGTCAAGTGCAATAAATAATTCAAGTTACGAAGAGCAGCGTGTGTTCAAGAACTTAATCGTAGTAAGTAAATTATTGAGAATATTACAGCTGCAAAAAGAAACTGTATTCAATGTTTTACACTTGGCACTAAGATCAAGGTAGAAATGGTGGATTCCGGATTCCCAAGATTCCCGAATTCCTATGGGATCCCTGGGATTCCCATAGGAGTCCAGAAATACAGGAATTCAGGGAATCTCGTAGAAATCCCATGAGAATCTCGGATTACCATAGATTTTCGAATCTTTTATAATAATAAATGATAGTTCCAAAATTTGTATTTAATCTGTATGATCCTCATCCGAGTCCTGAAAATCTCATAGAACTCAGTGTCAAGGCTTCACTGCTTTATCACATGGTTAGAAAAGCTGTATTAAACTATTGAGAAAAATCATTTCTTAGGCGAACTTGTTTTACATATGCTTGACCTGTGCAGACATCAAGGTTTGTCTATAGCACATCACTTTCTTGTTCAAGAATCTCAAGAAAGTCATGCGCATGGAAGGAAAAAATTTCATTCGAACCGTGATTATAAACAGTAGATATAATTTCACAAGTCGAACTTATTTTCAGGTGGAAAATGTTCAATCTGGAAAGTGATTGAAACTTGAAAGTACCCTTTTTTACATAGCATTTTATGTAAAAAAATGCGCAGTTCTCAAGGTGTATTCATAGCGCATAACGTTCTTGTTTTCAATGTTCATGTTTTTCATACGAATACCACGAGAGAGTTCACTAGGGTAGATATAACTTCGTAAGTGAAACTTATTGCTAGGAAACAAGTTGATCTGGAAAGTGCTTAGAACTCCAAATTACCCGTATTTGCACAGCTTTCTTTCTTATGAGCATGAAATGCATAGCCCTCTAGATTTGTTCATAGCGCATGATGTTCTTGCTTCAGATGGTCATGCATTTCATGCGCATAGCCCAAGATAGTTCGCTAGGGTTATCTATTTTGCAAAGTCTATACACTTAAACTTAATTAGATGGGTATCAAGTTCATTTTAACAACACGACAGTTTACTATCTTATTTTTATGGGAAAATGTTCGAAATAGAATAACAAGCATCAGCAAGGAATAAGATAAATTAATGAGTAATGCAAGAAATATGTTGAACCAAATGAATCTATACCATCTTATTTGTAACCTTTTATTCATTCAGTAATCTGGCAGTTGAACATGTTTAAATCAATCAGGTAGCAGCATGGCCTTCCTGTCTACTAAAAGAGAAGAGGCTCTCTATCTATGACTATATTGTTTTTGGCATCAATTTTGACACAAGAGAAAAAGAGTTTCAATGTGAAGAAGAAATTGGCTTGGAGACTCTTATTACATGAAATTGAGACTTATCGCAAGCTGACAAGGAAAACGAATTGAAAATTTTGTCTTAGAATCAGCTATACACCTCTGATCTGGATAAAAAAAAGCAACATTAGTTTTGAAGTACTAACTTGACTCTTGATCCAATGAGTTGTAATGATTTTCGTCAGATTAGACAATACAGATTTTTTTCACACTAGACTTGTATAAATGATCTACTTTGTTTTATCGCAGATTCTCTTGTTTTCTTCCAAGCAAAACTAACATCGAATCTGGAAAGAGGATTATAGGTTAGATTATAAACTTGGCAAATAGTCCTTTTGAAATTGTCATAAAAGAGAAGATCAAGAGATAATTTTGATGCTGATTGTTTCGAAGTAGTCTTTTTCTTGTCCTTTGTGATATTTTTGGAAACTTTGATGGAAAGTTCAACTTACTGGATTTGAATGGAAAACAAAACAGATTGCACATGTACTGGATTGCCTGAATTATGCTCGAGTACTAAAGATCCTCATCGAGTTCCGCATTTTTATTCTTTTAATTTTCTAGCTGTTTGCTTTTTTCTCGAAGATTCAATCGGTACCTTCAAGCCTTTCTTGAATTGTGAAGGTCGAGTGAGATTTATTCTTCCACAGCAAAAAAGTAGTCCAGTCATCACTAAGTCTAGACAAATTTTCTCATAAGATATGCATCAATACTAATGACACAAAAACAAGTTCTTTTGTTTCATTTTCATTTCTTCATGAAAGGGCAGTAAAAACAAAAGCAACACCGATTAGAACTAACCTGTTACGTTTCTCCATTAACCATGTCTATTTTATTAAATGAGTCCCACAGTGAACTAATCTAAGCTGATCGGTTAGTGCATCGTTCCTATCATTTGGTTAAAAGTCGATAAATTATGCACCTATGTTTTCTTTTTGTATTGATATTAACGTGTAGATCATTATTGATCACTGTAGGAAGAATAGTATGGACCGTGACACTACGACTTACTAAGTATTGGATAAAATGAAAGGACCACAAGTTCGTCTTCAGAGCTAGTCCCTTGGTTCAATTGTAACTATATATTTTATGTCGAATTTAAAATTGTAGTCCGATTCATCTTTCTATGAATCTATATGAGCGCCTTATTTCTTTAGAAAGCAGTCACTTCTATATTCCCGAATGTTCAGTTGACGATATCGATGAGGATGTAGATCTGTGTCTTCTTTTCATCCTCACGAAACATTTACACCCACACCCTTATTATCCACACTTCTAAATAGTTGTTTTCAAGGAATGGGTTTCAAAATATTAAATAAATGAAATGATATTTGTTATACATGAGCATAAGTTATAACTTCAGTGTTGTTCAGACATCTAAATCACGTATTCCTGGGATTTTCATTGGACTCCCACCGGATTCGGAACCCCGGGAATCCACCGATTCCTCCTTGGCTGAGATGCTACGGATATTAGAAACGATTGAGATAGATGTAATATCGACCCCGAGGATTGACTGTAGAGTTTGAGTGTGGGCGTGCGAGTGTGAATGTGAATGTAGCTAGGTGTTGAGCTCTTCTTAACTCACATGCACATCCACACCCATACATGCATCAATACTCACACTCACACCCTACATATACATCCACATCCACATCCTCTAAGATAAATTAACAAGGGTGTGGGTGTGGGTCTGAACCTTTCTCTTCTCACACACTCGCACCTCACCCACACGCTGATAAAAATTTCAGCTCTCCATGTAAAGATAAAGTATGGAAAATATCATCAACAATTCATCTCCAGTTATTATGGGACACCCTTTACGGTACTTCGTAGTCTCATAAAAGTCTAGAATGGGGATAAATTCTTTATATTACATGTTGTATTCACTGACCTCTGCAAAATGGAAAATATCAGATAAGAAACGGAGCTTCACACTTGGTGGTCGTCCCTCGTTAGCTTGTTTCAACTTATATGTTTGTTGAGATAGTACTTTTTTCCTAATGAAACACCTCTTACAGTTGTAAAAGTAAGAATGGTCGATCTCCTCCAAAACGAGCCATAAGCACGAACTATTTTTACCATAGACACAGCTCACTAAGCTCTACAAAATGTGCTAAGTCTCGACTTGAAGTCCCTCGAGCATCTGGGAATATTCCCTCGTAAGTGAAGTAAATATTTCTTTTAAGATTTTGTGAATTCCATTCAAGAATATGCGTTAATATATGATACTCATTTCAATATTTAAACATTCATTTTTTGACAACATTAAGGGTTCTACTTCCCAATCTAAAACTTATCTTTCAAATTTATGCTCGCTTTCGATTCTCTGTTTCTTAATCGGAACAAAATAAGTCAAGAATTTCTCTATAATTCCTACTAATAAAGTGAACAAAAAACAATACTTTTCATGTTCACAATGTTTAATTTTGAAAATTCGATAGTAAATAGAGTTGTCATTGTCCTCAAATTCGAATTTATTCGTTTAAATTACTAGATGAAGTGGAAAATTTAATGCGTAATGATCGAAGGAAGAATGATTGCTTTAGTGGAAATATTATTTCAATCGATTACTTTTAAAGATGAGTCATCTTGTATTGCTAGTCGATCGCTTCTTGCTTAAGGTCAGCACTTTTGTGTTTTCAAAATTTTTCTCAATGGCACAGAAGATTCAATTCGACAATAGAACCAGCTCAGACCCGGCAGGAATCCGATAAAATTTATATGGATTTCTGCGAAAGCGACGAAATCCTATAGGAATTCTGTAAACTAAATGACATTCGGATTCCTAGTGTTCGAATCCGATGGGATCCTAATATCGGAATTCGATGGAGTCCAACACTTCGTTCTGACTGATCTCTACTATTGCCACCAGTTAGTAATTAGTACTTATTTAATTAAATAGGTTTCATCTGTCGGATCGATTAGTAGATTCGTTTCTCGGTACCCCATCGGATTCTATCGGACGCATAAATCCAATCAAATCCGATAGGTCTAAGTATTGGATTCATTTACCTAGGTTGGTTTGATGAAGTTTCTATCTATTTCTAAGTTTTTGTGTTAATTAGACAAAAGTCATTCACTGCTTTTTCACCCTTGCAAAAATCGTCCACAAGAACTTTTATATGTG